TATGATAAAAGATGCAGACGGCCACATTCTCACGCATGAACCTGCAGAGCATCTGAACCAACACGGAGCCGAACTGATCTGAAACTGAATGAGTCTCGTGTGATGATGATGATGATGATGTAACTGTCACCAGATGCTAAACTCACCTTTCTGTCGCTCAGCTGAGTGTGTGAGACACAAAACGACCTGCAGGAGTTTGTCCGCACCGCCGTCCGCGTAGCTGTCCTCACCAGAAACATTGTCATCTGTTGCACACACACCGAGAGCCCAAATAAATCACTTTTAAAGGTCGTACACTGAGCATATGCGAGAGGAAGCCGAACGGTCGCGTTTATTTGTACGTCACAGTGAGACGACGGAGAGGGGCCTTTGTCGCCACCTAGCGGCAGATGGATAATTGATTAAGAGCCAGTATTACGGATACTGGTGATATTATTTGGCGATCAAAGCAGTTTAAGAAGACCTAAAGCTGAAAAAACATGTAGCAACTTCATACTTTTAATGAACACTTTATATTTGTTTTCACTGGTTCCTTATTTGTATGTTAAAATGGCTGTAATATAAACTGATACAATCGCCTTTGTTTGACTTCACTAAGTAAAACAATCTTGACATAAACTGCAAAAAGATAAAAACACACACAGTATTTATCTTCAGTATTTTTATTTTTGACTATAACATGAATCTACTAATAAATATTCTTTCAAGCTTGACATTAAAAAGCATCATCAGTCTTCTTCTGATCAATATTAGTAGTAGGTACAGCACGTCTCCATTATAAAAGTTAACTGTATACATGGAATGATTTTTAGGGGAGTCTCTAACATCATTAAACCATGTGTATATGTGTGTGAATGAAGAGATATGGGACATTATATGTTGTGGACCAGGGGTGGGTAGTTAATCTTCCCAATGGGGTCACATTAGAAACTATTCTTGAGGGACAGTCCAATAAATTATAAAAAGTTCAAATTAATGTCAGGCCGCGTAAGAATCAGTTTCAGTTTCTCATGTGGCCTTCTTTGGTAAGATTGTCCACCCCTGGTGTAGACAGTCTCTTAAGAAGAAAAACAAAGCTTTGGTGTCAAGGAAAGTCATAAACTAGTCACAAAAAAGTAAGCACATGATGTTTAATGCTATCTTATACACACACGCCTGAACACACGTTTCTATGAAGAAGGGAGAATGGATCTTGAAGACTCTGAAATAGTTCGACCTGCTGATGTAACATGAACTCTTTTTCAAAATAATTTTTTCACTTTTTTTCTAACAAACAACTTTTTTTGTCTTCATAGAAAGCTGCATAGGAAGACTTTACTTAAAAGCACTGTCGTTTATTTAAACACATCATACAATTATTTATTGCATCATTGGCTAAGAATCTCTCAAGCTCAGCATTTAAAGCTTTTTAAAAATGAAATAAGTAAATAAAATATATCAATAAATAAATTTTTAAAAAGCATCAGAAAAGGACCTGACAGAGACCACGTACTTGAGACACTACTCTGTCTTTGTCAACACATAAATATGATTGAAAAATAATCATGTATTTGCAAACAATATGTAGATGATGAATGGGGTAAAAGGTGTAATTCAGGATGGACGCTCTGCAGCCTTTTCATTCATTCAGTCCATCTCTTCTATCTCGATGGTCTGTCTCCTGCATGAACTGACTGACCAAGGAGACGCGAATCTTCTTCTAGTGTGAATGATTGACATAACTAAAGTAACCCTCTATGCTCTTTTGCAGACATGTATCGCTGAGCTTTGAAGTGTCTGAATGAAATTCATGATGTACAAACATAGTATTACACATTAACACTTTATTTACACGACTATTTAAAAGAAAAAAAATCTATTTTCATACTGACTTTAGGATCTGTGCTGCACACTGCAGCACTCATTCAAAGTATGAGATTTGGCATGTTTACTTTTAAGCTTGACTTTTACTCTGAAAAATCAAACATAATAATGTATAAATCCATATGCATCAAAGCCAGATTTATACTAATACATTAGTCATTTCAAACAGCCGCATGATCATCAAGGTAAGGACGAATTTGCCTGGGCTTTGTATGTGAGTTAGGCGCCACTTTAGTCCCAACTTGTTAATTTATGTAGTTATGACTCCGTAATTTTGGCTGTAATTAACCTAAAACTCAGTTACAGCTTCAAAGGAACAGGGCCCTGGCACTGTTTTGTTTTCACGGTTGGCGCTTGTCCATCATTAGTGATGAAAATGCTAAAAAACAATATTCTTCAGTACAGCAGGTCCACAGCAGAGACAGTCGGTTCTTCAGGTTTTTTGATCTCCGGTTTGGGCAGCTTGATACGACTCATCGCGACCACTCCACAGACAGCAAAGTGAGTTGCAATGCTGCCTACGCCGAGCCAGAAAGACCAGTCCAGACTGTCATCCAAGACAACGAGGACGAAGAGGTTCTCCTTAAAGTTTGCCACTCGCTCGGTCAGACTGTGGTGTCTGACAGCTGCCAGGAAGCACAGAACACCCAGGGCACCAAACAGAGCTGCAGACAGAGAAGCAGGCAAGTCAGGGAAAGGACAAGAAACAAAATGATGCATCATCTGAGACATACCAGCGATGAAGTTCCACAGATAGAGTCCCTTGTGCCCTTTGATGCTCTGGTATGGAACCTTGCGTGCATTGTAAATGCAGAAAGACAGACTGACCAGCGCAAAACCCACAGCCACCAGCAGGAACAGGATCACCATCATGTGGAGGCCCCCGTTCAGTGTCCGCACAAGCTTTGGGAAAACTGGAGAGAGCAGAAAGAATCAAATACTGCATCTTGTCAGCTCTGTTGGACTGTATAAAAAGTAGAGCTGTAACCCTCTACATTATTATGTAAATTTATGGATAGCAAACAAACTTAGATAATTTTAGTATTTTGTTTGCTACCCAAACCCTAAAAGTTTGGTATATTCATTAAAATAAGACCACGCGCTGATTTTTGTGAGTGTGAAAGTGGTTTGAGTTCACAGCATCAGCTTCTTTGTGCCTCTCTATGATCATATCTTAGTAAATGTTTTATACTCATGTCACAACTAAAAGAACAAAGTTTGAGTTCAGGGTGAACCCCCCTGTAAAAATAAACAAAAGTGATGCTCACGTGTTGTTCTACTCTAGTAAGACAGCATCTGTGTAGTTTTAAAAGTCTGAAATCGTCTTACTGTAAATTTTGGACCGCCTGTCCCCGAGCCCGCACCTCTTGGTCTTTCCTCCCTGGAACAATCCGTAATAAATGCTCCCGATGAACTGGTCCAGCTCGGGATTTGACGCATTCACTATCTCCACCCCGGTTTTACAGAGGATCCGCCCGGTAACCCACCGCTCCGTGGATAAAGCCACCACCAAGAGGACCACCGAGGCGATACAGAGCGCCGAGGCCACTGAGAATGTTATCCGCTTCCACAGAGAAGGCATCTTACGAGCCCATGGTGCCCCGAGGCAGGAACCGCAGTGCGCGCTCGGCGATCACCATAAGTTTATCCCACAATTTAAAAAGAAAGAAAAGAAAAGAAAAAGCATCATAAGTTGCTCCCACCGTTGTGTAGCATCAACGTGTAGCGTGTAGCTTTGACGTGTGAGTCACAAGGAAGGGGAAACTGAATCCATGGAGGTCAAAGTGATCCCTCGCCGGGAGAAACTCTATCCGTGCTGCGCGCTTGGTTTCTGCTCTCTCTCTGTCTCTCTCCCTCTTTTCACTCTCCTCTTTATCCATGGCATTAATTAACCTTTGTTGCTCGGCTTTTGCATGCAGAAATCTACCTATAATTCTGGTTACAGCTTTAAAAATCATGTAACCGTGCTTAATTATGACAGATGTGGTTCATTATGTCCCAGAGCCTGAAGGTCAGCGTGATCTATTAGCTACCACCGGGGTTTATTGGTCCCCATCTTTGTGTTTCAACCTCCGCTTCTTACCTTCAAGGCGTTGCTGAAATTAAGTAGACATAAAGTCTTGATGACTTTGACCTTTGACCTCCAAATATTAAATAGTTTGTGGTCCAAGTGAATGCATTTGGCAAATTTGAAGAAATTTCTTCAAGATGAGATGTGTTCAAAACCGAAGATTGTAGATGATCTACTGTTGATCTACTGGTTACATCCAAGGTACGCAGAAAAGCATCTCTGAACACAAACCAGATGGTCTAGAGCAGCAGAAGGCTGCACCAGGGGCTTTTCTGTACAGAAAGTCACATGGGCTCACCAAAACTGCACAACAGGAGATTAGAGAAGGTTGCCTGGTTTCATGGGTTTTGATTTCTGCTGTGACATCAAGATGGCAGGGTCCGAAATGGGCATAAAAGACATGAAAGCATTAATTCATCCTGCCTTGTGTCGCCTTCTTGCTAGTGGTGTAATGGTCCGCCAGAGTCCGCCTTCAAAGTAAAAGTTGTGTCTCTTGAGTTGTGTTGGCTGCAGCGATATATAAGAAGAGCAGAACCACGCAAATCAGCAAATTCCTTAAATACTGAACACATTTGTGTGTGTGTGTTTCTGTTACGTTCACACAACTAATTGCCTATAGGTGCAATTGGAAAAGGGTTATGATGATAGTGAATCTATTGCATATACGGTAATAAAAACTCAATCAGCTTTGTATGTTTTCACAGTCTTTCTCAGTTGAATAGGTTATAATGAAACGTAAGGTGTTATTTGTGTCATTTTATACAGTCTTTTTAATGTCTTTAGCTTCGTGGGATTATAAACTGAGAAAAGGGAAAAATAAATAACGTGCGGCAAATAATCTCAGGGCTTTGGCGACATCTGCCGGTGAGTTGGACAACCTGCTGTGCGTGATGACGTCTGACCGTCAGTCTCCCAGGCAGCAGCGGCCTGAAACTTTCGTTTGGCGAAGATGGCGGAGGCGCTGTCGACAGGTCTGGGTGAAGAGAAGGAGAAGGAGGACAGGGAGAGGGAGAAGAAGGCTGCCACAGCGGGGAAGAACAAGGAGAAAGACGGAGTCACGGAGACGCTGGGGTTTAACGATAAAAATGGCGCTAGCAGGGGAAAGAAGAGCAACCTGTCAGGTGAGAGCTAGCTTCGTTTCCACAGGCGCTGACTCCCAGTTTGACAGCGCTAGCTAGCAGCTGAGATAATTATTGTTTACGGCGGCTGTAGGGTGTTTTTTGTAGAGTTTCTCGAGAAGGCATGTAAAATGTCAACTGAGCTTCTGCAGCTTTTTGGGGCTTGCTCCGAGTTTGCACATGTTGTAGCTGCAGGAAGCCTCAGTAGCTGTTTGTGAGAAACTGAGCTGGAGTAAAGTAATGAGCAGGTGGCACAATTGTGTGATATGCATCCAAATTAAATCTAGCAGGAGGATTTCTGACTGTTAGTAAGACAGCAGTACTGCATGTGATCATGCAGAAAGTCCAGATCAGCCAGTTGGCTTCTCGTGCGGTTTGGTTCTCTGCACAGGCGCACTCAGATGAGTCGGTGGACACTGTGTGAGCCATAGGTGCACAGACACCCGTGTTGACTTGAAAGATTGCTCAACGTAATGCTTACGGCAATCATTTTTGACCCAGTTGCAAGAAGAAGAAAAAAAGGCCATGTGTTTTCAGATGATTGGCAACATAAATTGTAATGGTTTATTCTAGTAATATTTGTTTATTAGAAAGCGTGGACATCCCCACCATAAAGCTCAGCTGTTTCTAAATTTTATGCACTTTTCTTTCTCTGTGAATTCAGCAGGTGCACTCGCGGTCTTCTTATGTATATACTCGATATTGCTATTTTTAATGCAACTGGATAAAGATTTTCTTGACCATTCTTGGTTGCTAAACACCTACATGTTTTGAACTCTGCTCCTCTTGTTCAGAAAATAAACTTTATCTATAAAGCTCCCCCAGAGCTGGAAAAATTACAGTACTGTTTGAGCCCTTTTCATATTTGCTGCACATTTTAATATTGGTTGAAGTTCACGAGGGTAAGTACAACATGCATTTTAAATTATGATTTCATTCAATAAGGGAAAAACACTATTCAAACCTACATGTCCCTGTGTGAAAAAATAATTCCCCTCTAAACCTGATGGCTGCGTCACCCTTGATAACACTGCAAGAACTGCAGTCAGGCGTTTGTGATAGCTGGCAATGAGTCTTTCTCATCAGGCGTGAATGGCCTGTTTATGGTCGTGCCGAAGCATCTCAATCAGATGTAAGTCCAGACTTTGACCAGGGGACTCCCAAACCTTCATTTTATTTTGTTTTTTTAGCCATTCAGAGGTGAACTTGCTGGTGTTGTTTATTTATCATTGTCCTGCTGCATAATCCAAGTGCTCTTGAGCTTCAGGGCACTGATGGCCAGACATCCTCCAGGATGTTTTGGTAAAGAGCAGAATTCATGTTTTCTTTTACCCCAGCAAGTCTTCCAGGTCCTGAAGGAGCAAAGTAACCCCAGACCATCACACTACCACCACCATCTTTGTGTATGATAATCTTTTTATGAAATGCTGTGTTAGTTCTATGCCAGACTCAAACCTTCCCAAACGTTCAACTTTTGTGCCATCAGTCCACAGAATATTGTCCCAAAAGTCATGTAGATCATTAATGTTTTGTGGCAAATGTGGAACGAGCCTGTGTGTTCTTTTTCGTCAACAAAAAACCCCCACAAAGGTTGGATCTCTCCCATGGATGCCATTTTTATCCAGTCTGTGTTTTTTTTTTTTTAAATTATTGTTGAATCATGAACTCTGACTTTAATTGAGCCAAGTGAGGCTTGCAGTTCTTCAGATATTGTTCAGGTTCTTTTGTGACTTCATAGATGAGCCATCGATCAGCTCTCGGAGTAATATTGGTTGGCTGCCCACTCCTGGGAAGGTTCACCACTGGTCCAAGTTTTCTCCATTTGTGGATAATGGCTCTCACCATGCCTCTGTGGAGTCCCAAAGCTTTAGAAATGGCTTTGTATTCCTTTCCAGACTGCTAGATGTCAAAGACTTTGTTTCTCAGCTCTTTATCGTTACCATAGGTTAAATTGCACTGATTTAGAAGTCAGATTAAATACCTAAATAAAAGCACTGGATGTTAATGAATGCTAATGACAGTCCATTTTAATACTAATGAAGAGGACTTTTTTTTTTTATTATTGAATTTATCCAAATAAAGGGAACAAAATACTTTACTATGAGTACTTAAAAAAAAACCAGATGACTCTGAACAGAATACTGAGTATGTATTGTCATTATATAATGTAAAAAAGGAGCCTAATATTTAAAAAAAAAAAAAAGAGCATAGTGTAAGGCCTAAAGCCGCTTCAAACATGTAAGTGAAATGAAAAAAGTTGATATAAAACCAAATGACCAGAACAGCTTTAACTTTCCAAATCTTAACACCTTTGGGATGAACTGGAGCTCCAACAGGCCTGATCGAACCACGAGTGGCCAACCTCACTAATACTCTTGTGGCTAAATGGGAACAAATCCCTTCGTTCATGTTTCTAAGCTTCAGAGTTTAGACGGTTCCAGCAGCAGATTAGCTCGAGTAGTTTTGGTTTTAGTGTAGCCAGTTCTCATCTGATTGAATTTACCATTAAGTAAGGACTCCTCTATGTGTGCTGTGTTGATAGTGTTGTTTGTGATAGATTCAAAACACAGTAAAAAGAATAATTTATTCCTGTCTGTATCTGTAGACCTGTCTCTGGTCAGATTCATAACTACTGAGCTCACCAGAGGTTACTTCCTAGAACACAACGAGGCCAAATACACCGAGCGCAGAGAGAGGGTCTACACATGCCTCCGCATCCCCAAAGAACTGGAGAAGGTGAACACACTGTACACCCCCACACTTAAAGAAAAAAAATTAAATGAAATAAACACAGTTGTAATAAATGTATTTCTCCCCTCTCTTCCTGTTTTCAGCTGATGACATTCGGCTTCTTCCTCTGTCTGGACGCCTTCCTCTATGTGTTTACGCTGTTGCCCCTCAGGGTGATTCTGGCCCTGTTGCGACTCTTCACAGTGCCATGTTGTGGTCTCAGGTAACGTATAAGCATAAGTATTATAGTACATTTTATTATATATAAGTATTATTTCCTTAATCTATCATTTGTTATTAACAGGGAATATTTTGATACATGTGCTTCTCATCAGTATAACTCCACCATCATTAAAATTATATTTGCATAGATTGTGTTAGATGTCATTTATGTACGAGGTACAAATGTTGTGATTATCATGATTATCAGGTCCTGTGAAGTATAATGTTGGAGTAGAGCCTCAGCTCTTCATCAGTGATTTTTCTGTCTTCAAAATTGGTTAGTAAAACATAAGAAATCAGAGAATAATAGAGCAAAACAAAGTCAAAATGTCAGGCTCGACCTAGTCATTGCTGTCATAATGTTATATATTAAAAAAAAAGCGCAAACTGGCTATTTACATTTACTGATTTGCGGCAATTTGAGCAAGATGAATAAAATAAAGAAAAAGTTGTTTACTTTATTCACCTTGATTATTTGCACCAATCTAATTTGATTTCAAAGGGAGACTCATTGGTTACTGCATGCTTTTATTTACAGTCTCACTAGTTTCTCGTTTACCTGTTGTCACTGTGAGTGCACCTGCTCTCACAGATGTGGAGTAATAATAGACTCTGAATCCTGCTGTGCAATAAAAGCGTCCCAACAAGCATTACATCGGTAAACTGAACATAATGGGAGTGAGAGCCAATGGGAGTGAGACGCTGACATGGAAACATCGTGTTCATCTGGGATTTTCAATCATGTCACCTAACTTGACCACAGTTTGCAGTTTAATAATAAACTTCTATCAACATAAAAATTAAAGCTGTTGATATGGTAAAGTTGACATACCTATAAAATGCAAAACCTTTGCCCCTATATTCCCTCGGTTATGATTGCTTTTGCATTAGGAGCTGGTTCACTGATGCTGATGTGTAACAAAGTAAACAGAAGAATGCTGAACAGATTGGCCCCATTCGTCTGCTCACCGACACCCAGTCTGGCTTTCTGAGTCAGGATTGGGCTGATATACACTCCATGTATTAGGCAGGTGCATCCCTTATTAGTCCTTTGTTGATCAGTACTAATATTACACTGTTAATCACTTTGATTACAGTCACTTAATTTTTTGTGTTGCGTTGTGTGCACTTTTTCCAAAATCTGCATATCTTGTGATATGTACAGCGTAGGCAACATGACCCATATTTAGAGCTTCCCTGCCTTCCTCAAATCCAGAATTCTTTTTAGAAACTTTAAAGAATCAAATTGTGGTTAATTGAGAATATATATATATATAAAAAAAACAACAGGTGCAAGGAATAAATATGTTCTGCAGTCCCACTTTAAAGGGGGCTCTGTCACCCTGGGCAGGGTCTTTGTCTGAAGCAGTGCAATGTTGTTATTGACCTCCGGGGGGCAGCAGAGCTCTTAGGCAACAGCCAACTATGCTGTTCTGTTCTGGTGATTTTCTTGTGAACATTTTCCTTGTCTGTGACGTTTGTGTGTTATTTAGCGGCTCCCGCTTGCTTCAGCCAGCCCAGGTGTGCGACGTACTCAAAGGCTTCATTATGGTGCTGTGTTACTCAATGATGAGCTACGTGGATTACGCCATGATGTACCATCTCATCAGAGGACAGTCTGTCATCAAACTATACATCATCTACAACATGTTAGAGGTACACTGTGTAATCTTCCTCATTGGCCAGTTCAGTATCTAATGACGCTGCACCACTCATTGGCTAGCTCTCCCCTGTCATCCTTCCCTTGTTGTGTCGTCAGGTGGCGGACCGCCTGTTCTCATCATTTGGCCAAGACATACTGGACGCTCTGTACTGGACCGCCACAGAACCCAAGGAGAAGAAGAGAGCGCATATAGGCGTGATTCCTCACTTCCTCATGGCTGTTCTCTACGTCTGTATCCTCAAAAACATCACTGATATAAAAATGGTTAAAAGTTATTCAGTTTAAAGTTGATTTGCAACATTAATCAGTTTTATCGTTCAGCAAAATGTTTTTCTGAAGTGTATTTAAAACAAATGAAATTAAAAGCTTAAATTCAGATTTTGAAACTGATAGAAAAAGGCCACATTAGAGGCAAAAGGAAAGACCTTTTGCTCCCAGTGATCCCAAACAAGCGTTATTCATCACTCTGCTATTTAATCTTCCCAGTCTTCAACTTTCTTCATAAACCAAACAGTCAATCAAAGTTGAAGTAATCAGCAGCAGCAAATCTAACAGCTGTACTTCAGACTAGTAGGGCACATAAAGTTATTGCGTCAGTATTATTACAGTGCAGAAAATGTGTGTTTTTCCTCAACATGTATCCAGTTCTTCATGCCATCCTCATCATGGTTCAGGCTACAACTCTCAATGTAGCTTTCAACTCCCACAACAAGTCCCTGCTCACCATTATGATGTCAAACAACGTGAGTTTTATGCACAGACATATTACCCCGTTTAAAACATGCGGCATCTCCAGTTCAGTCCTGATGTTTTTATGGTGGGTTTTCTTTTTTCTGCAGTTTGTTGAGATCAAAGGGAGTGTATTTAAGAAGTTTGAAAAGAACAACCTTTTCCAGATGTCAAACAGTGGTAAGTGGTGGTAAAACAGCTGGCTACGTTCCACAAAAATCAAAATCTTTGAATACTTTGTGCCTCCTCCTCTCAGTATGATTATTTAATACAAGGTAAATATGTGGAATCGAGCTCAACTGCAGTGAGCACAAAGTAGGTTAATCCTGGATTGATTTGTTTGTTTCCCATAGACATAAAAGAGAGGTTCACCAACTACATCCTCCTGCTCATCGTCTGTCTGAGAAACATGGAGCAGTTTTCATGGAATGCCGGTAACCTAATACAAAGCTTTGCAAAGAGTACTGAAAGCTATACAGCTGCATACAGATGTGCTTTATCATAGTACCCCGATTAGGTTCATAATCAGGTCTTTTCACTCTTGCTAAGTAGCTCACTGTTTTCTTTTACTACTAATACTGGATTAAATAATTATACTGATGAGATTTCAATGTGTTTGTTGTCAGACCACTTGTGGGTGCTGTTTCCTGATGTAGTCATGGTGATAGCCTCAGAGGTTGCCGTGGATGTTGTCAAGCACGCCTTTATCACCAAATTCAATGACATCAGTGCTGATGTAAGTCCTTTCTCTGTACGTTTGACGGTTTATTAACTTGGTTAAAGTGCAGTTGAGTGTTTGGCAACTAGAGGAGAAACACATTAGTTAAAACTATTGAACTATTCTATCATGTTCACCCAACAGCAATTCAGTACAATGAGAAACACAATTTAAATCAGATAAAATAAATCTGTTAGTTAGAATGAACATCTGACAGTCTTAGCAAGCTCTGATGTGAAAAACTTGGAATAAATCACTTATTCCAAGTGATAATACTCACTTAAATTGTATTAATAAGCTTAAAAGCTTATTAATACAATTTAAATTGTTGACAGTTGTCTATCAGCTTCAACACAGTTCAGATATTTGTGTGGAACAGATTAGTGGGGAGTGTCACTATTCTAGGTATAAAAAACCATTTTAATGGGATATTTTCTCATTTATGTCTTAGATCCATTACTTTCTACATTTGGTTGTGCTTTTGCGCATATAAGCACATCTAAATGTAGTTATAGTGTCACCATGTATCAGTTGAACTTAGAAATAGGCTGCAGTTTTATTTATATATTCTTGGCAGTGTACAGAGAAAAACCAGTGGACTATGATAATTAAGTTTTAGAGCTTCTTTTTTCTCAGTTGTTGTATGGGCATTTCTCTTCAAAGGAGGAAAACGTGTCATACCTGTGAGGTTAGATTTAGTATATGGGGAGTACAGACACAGCCTGCAGATGGCCAGTTTAACCTGACACAAGGTTTCTCCAGGCAGTAACTGGGGATATGAAAGGGTTGGACCTGTGACACGATGGTCAGTACAACCTGTATATTACTTAACATCAGAGAGAATCTGTGCTTTGACAATAGTTGCATCAGAAAAGAAAGTCAACTAAGCAGTCAACAAAACAAATTTGAGAGTAATGTGCAGAATTTCAGTTGTATATGCAGGAAAAATGCTTACAGTGAGTAATGTAATGATGCCACACTAACAGGCTAACACGCATAGCAGCACCTAAGTTTGATCTGCTCTATTTTAGCTAATTTTGGTCCTATGGCAAGAGCTTAACCGTTTAATGCACACTGATCTAAGTGAAAATGCTTCCACTGTTTTCAATTGAAGAAACAAACTTCACTATTCAAACAGTGTAACCCATTTTACAATGTTGTGATCTCACAGCAAAACTAACAGCAGTGATAGAAATCACTTTAAGGAACTGAAATGATGGTGCATATTTTTCTGTCATGTTTAGGGTTATATACATGTTAAATCTAGTCTTGTGTTTCAAAACATAATAGGTAAAATATTTAGTATTTACCATGATATGGACCTCAAATTAAGATGATCTAGAACAATAACAGGATTAGAGTTCTGGTCACTTGACCCATATAAAATATGTTATATTGTAGTGTTTCATGATTTACAAATCTGTGTATTTTCACTTTGTTGGTCTCTTTAGCACTATTGTTATACTGTTAGAGAATCACCCACCTGCAAGAGAAACCGTCAGCAGGCCCATTTTTTCCTTATCAATTTCTCACTTCCTTCCCTCATGGGTCGCCTTTCTCTTTGATTTTCCTCCAAGGAGTTGTAACTATGCTTATGTAACAGAAAGCAGCCCCACAGGAAGGGATTAACCCCTTTATCCCCAAACTGTCAAACCTAATCACACAAACCTCACTCACATTGTAAGTGTTCAAGCACCTGTGAGTCCATACTAATCCACGTTTAATCCGCACACACACATTTTTGCTTCTTTTCGGCTTCATGAATTTACCTTTACTGTGCTTTCACCTTGCATTCATGCACCAGAGTAAAGAACAAGCAGGTAAACCAATTATGAGACTTGCAGTAAACAAGTTAACATTTGTTACGTCACCACGACAAGGCAGGCGCTCTACTCAGTAGCTTATTTGTTTTATATTTTGATGTTTCTCTTGTATCGGTTGACACGTTGCCTCTGTCTCAGGTATACGGGGAATACAGAGCCAGCCTCGCCTTTGACCTGGTCAGCAGTCGACAGAAAAATGTGAGTGAAGCGGCTCAAATCACAGTAATTTAGGAAAATACAAATAAAAAGACAAGGTGCTGTTTGTGTTTTCTCTAATGAAAGACAACATTTTCTTCTGTATGACACTACATATCATCTTATTTCCTCTTTTTTATTATATATACTAGTCCAAAAACAAAAGGCAGGTTAGTGTTTTGAATAGATTTCATAAACCCTCACTATAATACAAGGTATGGCCTGGACTGCATATTCAGTGCCTGAGTAAGTTGAGGAATGTCTCTCCATTCCTGAGTGTAGGCTGCAGCTGTGCCCTGCTTACTTGTTGCGGCTGCCTCTCATGAATTTCAACACAGCATGTCCCCGGCATGCTCAGTAGGAGACCTTTTGGGACTAAATCCTGACTGGCGTCAGGACATGCTCCTGATCTACTGGCCACTGTGCACCGGTAACAGCCATAGGGGGGGTTGCTGCCGCAAGAATGGCACAGGTGCAGGTTGGGGCGCCTCATCTTGGTACCTCTGTCCGGTCACATTTCCACCACACTCAGAAGAGCTCAGACACGCGTGCCAGCATCCACCATTGCCAGTAGCCCTGCCTCATACACCTTGATTCAGTTGCAGCATGATACACTGATGACGGTGTTGTGCATATGTCCTTTTCTTTTCTGTTATTGCTGTTCACCTCTAATCATAACATCTGATAATTATTGATTCTGATCTATCAGTCGGTGAGTAACGTTTAAACAGTGAATGAGGAACGTGTTGAAAGCACATCCAGCAGTTTTTCCTGATTTTTAGTTTATGATTTCATTAAAAGAATGGACTGAGTTATTCATGAGTAAAACTGTGCTGCTTGTTGATGTTTTGCATAACAATGTGTTAACTGTGTCTCCAGGCGTACACAGACTACAGTGACTCAGTATCCAGGAGAATGGGCTTCATCCCGCTTCCTTTAGCGCTGCTGGTCAGTCGTTCTTTCACAGGATGGCTTTTGATATTGAGATGTTTGCTCCCACGTTTGCTTGCTTATAAATGTGACGATGTTTTTTCAGCTGATCAGAGTGGTGACCAGCTCAGTGAAGATCCAGGGGTCGCTCTCGTTTATGTGTGTGCTGCTGTTTTACTTGGGGTAATTGGCCAACATGTCTTCATCATTTTTGATTATTTTCTTGACACTGTTTGTTTTCATGTCCACTTGACTTTTGCCTGTCTCTGTGAGCAGGATGATCACTCTGAAGGTTCTCAACAGTATCGTTCTCCTGGGAACTTCCTGTGTGTTTGTCAAAGAGGCCAATATGGAGGAAAAGCTCTTTGACCCTCCGCCTTCTGTCGCCTCCAGCCGTGCAAACTCTAGAGCTCACCGGACAAAACATGTTCACGTTTCACCGCAGCAAGGTAGCTCAGTCACTCTGTCTCACTGTCTCTTTTCCTGAGCTTAACTGCTGCTAAAAACTCTTAACTTGCTTTATAACAGAATCCACAGCTGACAAAGGAGAAACTTCTCTGCCGTCAGACATCTGTCAGCCCACCAACACAGCAGAAAACGCTGCCCCCTCCTTCCCGAAGAGTGACTCAGACACATTCCTGACGACTCCTGACGATGAGGACGATGACAAAATCATCAATGCTGACACGGGACTGGAAGGAGGCGGACTTGCACACCGACCACCCAAGAAAGACCTGCTGGAGATAGATCGATTCACCATCTGTGGCAACCGAATAGACTGAAGGACCAGTGTAGCAATCCTGGCAACACTACAGGGTTCAGGGATCAGACATGGGTCATGGAGCATGCTCAGACCGTACTTACTTTTGTGCACCTGACCCCTCAAGTATTTATTTATTTATTGACTGACAAAACCAGCAAAGGCATACAGCTGTTACTACAAGCATCCGAGGCGGCATCAGACGTTTCCAGCTGGTCCTGCGTGTGTCTGATGAGCCAAGCGGGCTCTGGCACTGGGTCAGAGGCCTGGCGGTGACGCACTCGCTGATGAAGACAGCATGTAAAACACGGGAGGAGCAGACTACAGAGAGAAATCTGCGTATGTCAAATCACGTGTGTTCAGAAGCACAATCAGTAAGAAGCTGTTTTTAGAAAGAACAAAAGTTTTTACTAGTTTTTTTAAATTATTCCCAAAAAAAGGCTGATGATATTTGAAATGAAGTTTTTATGACAGGTTTCAAATCTTTTTTCTAAATTGAATCACAATCACATGGAAGGATTCAAATCATGAAGTTATTCTGCAGACTGAAGTTCTAACACACACACACACAGAGGTTGATCTGAGGTTGATCTGAGGTTGATCTGAGGTTGATCTGAGGTGATGAGGTGAGCTGCAGTCCCAGCAGGTTAAATATGGCAGCAGTGACACTAAGAATGGCTTTGCTTGGCTGCATCAGCTTCAGTTGTAATGTTTGGTTTGGTAACTTAAGAGACATAAAAAGTTGGAAGGCTTAATGTCATTTGTGTTGGTATTACCTTAAAGCACTGAGATGATGGTGCAAATTTGTATTTATTTTGAGATGGCCTGCCAGGCCTGACAGGTGTGACTTATTTATGTGCTTAATTTGTACCTTTTTCATTGAAGCATGTGGAGTACGGATAATAGTGGCGACACATCACAGGCATATAACATTTTCTTCTGTTTGCTTTTTGATGTTGGAAACTGATCTGACATGTTTTCTCATTCTTCGCTATCTGAGTGAGAGTGAATGGAAAAATCACATGAAATGCTTCATTGTATGCTGATTTCTTCATAATCCAGGCCAAAACTAGCTTGCAATGAACAAAATGCGAGTTTTCTGTGTTGAAGCTAGTTTATATCTTTTTATGCAAAACGATGGATTAAGATTTTTCTGGGGAAGGAAGTAAAGAGTTATTACAAGGATGGGTTCTGGCTGCGTGGAAAGAGAATTGCAACTTGGGCTTGCTACATCTTTGACTCCAAAAGGTCTGAGCAGGAGGAACGCAGGACTAAAAACTGATCAGGCACAGTTCGGTCCTTAATTTGCTGGACAGTGACACCGTTTTTGTAGTTTGAGAGTGGATTTAAATCAAACAGTGAAGATGTGACTGAAGTGCAGACTTCAAACCTCAGTTCAAGGGGACTTACAAAAATGATCCATTAACTGTTTGGGAATTAGAGACATTTTTATGCAATACTTATACAAATTATAGACCCAACTGTTGAACAAGATTTTTTTATCTTAACTGAGACCAGTGAGGGTCCATGAGGGGCACAGCCAGTCTCACTACAGGGTCATGGTCCGTACAATGAAAAAAATAGCTGTATACTGCTGGAAGGAGTGTGAATGCAGCATTAATGTGTGTGTGTCATATGTGAGAGGTATTTTTCAGCATGTGGATGGATCTCTACCTAAAAACAGACATTGTATGAGTTTTTTTTTTCTCTTCCATGTACAGCTCATTCGTGTAATGTATCTCCTTAGGTGGTAGAAGGAGAATAAAACAAGACTTTGTTTTGTAAGTTTCTGGTGTGATTTTGTGTGTGCACGCGCATGCGTTTCAGTGAAAGGAGTCGATGCCCTCCCTGTTAACCAGGCAAACACTGCAGCCTACTGTTCCCCTTGAATGGACATTTAGAGGGGGTGTATGTCATCACACACAGGGGTAGGGTGGGGGCTTTTTGCCAAAGGTCCAGCTCACATAAATGGTCTGGATACACGACATCCCTGATTGTGTCGACATATTTCAGGTTTTTCACATTTAACCCATCCAGTGCCACATAAAAGCTGCATGTGAGATGAGAGAGGCCAAAGAGAGCACTGACTCATGAAGCCATCAAAGCGGTTTTTAAAGGCTTAACCAAACTATACTGTTTCCGTTAAACTCAGTGCTTTGTTTCCACACTTTCTTGCCAAGTCAAACCTTGCATCTTTTGCCAGATGTTTCCTTCGCTGAACTATCTAACAGACAACTGGTAAGTGTCCAGACTCACTTTTAGTCACAGAGGCCCAAGGTGTAGCCAAGTCAAACAGTATTTAAAACAAGATTATTCTGAACTTCTGAATCATGCAAAGCTACTTTAGCAGGCTCAGACTAAATGTATCAAGCTTGAAACATGTTCATAAACAAAAATATCTCCCCATGAACCAAACCCTTCAAAATGATGATTGTTGGATCAACTGCAGGGTCAAAAAGGGTTATGTAAAAGCTCAAAATTTATACCAGTTGCGTTATTGGCTCAGATGTTGGAAGCAGAATTAATTTTAATTCCTGAGAGAAAAAGAACACAAACCAAAGTCAAATAGTAAGACATTACTATGAATAGCAGAGGCAAGATTTATGATTTTTTTT